CCATCCTTTTTAATATGTTAAGATAAGAATATTATCAAGACAACCCTCGTGCCCATTGTCATACCCCTCTCAACCATTCTTGCACCTTTTATTTATTTATTTATTTTTTTGAAAATATGGTCCATAAGATCAATTCACTCAATAAAAACAATCTATTTGTCCAAAATTTGACACTAATCGCTGTGTATATACATCACTAAACTCTGCGTGACTTTATTTTTTGTTTTATCAAATAAATTTTAATATTCTATTATACATGGATATTCTTCTTTCTTAATCAACATGGTACTTTTGTCGCACACTTGTCACATTAGATTTTGGAGGACAAGGTGGGGACACGTATTTGTTTTGTTTAAATTTGAGTTGAATTGAAGAGTAAAGTGTGACCCGGAAACAAAAATAATATAAATGAAAGGAAAGCAAAGGGCGTCGGCACAAAATTGGGAGGCAGTGTGGAATGTTTACAAGAGGAGGCCCCCATTGTCAACAGCTTAGGGGTCTGCGCTTGGACAGGATTTATATTTTATCCATTAATTTCCAATTCCATGCCCCCAAACCTTTTATCCTGTTCTATTCTATTCTCTGATTCCAACCATTTTTTCACCAACATACACAACGAACACCATGCCCTTCATTTTTTTATTCGTTGCATTAATTATACCCCATCTCTCTTCTTCAACTGCTTGTGTCTATGTGCTTCTACATAATTTAAAAGTACATAATTAGTATTTACTCCAACCCCACATTATTCACCAAAAATGGTTCTGGTTCTTTTCATTTTAAGCGGGAAAAAAAGGGATGGGCCTGAAGAACTTAATGGGCTGTGAATTCTCCTGGGCCGCCAACCCAGAACAACTTGGTCCATTTTTATTATTACTATTGTTAGTAGGTGAAATAGGTACTTGTGGCTGTGGGTGGATTGTTCCCAATAAGTGGTAGAAAATCTTAATTTAATGAAAAGAGAATAAAAATGTGGCAGACTCTTCAGAGTCACAGCTAGAACTGAGCATGTGAGACTTGAGAGCATTAGATTTAAAAAAACTATATTATAAAAGAAATTCAAATTCAAATATCCAAATCTACTGCCAAACATATATTTGAAAAACAAAAAATTATATTTCCATTAAATCCTTGTTTTCATATTTATATTTTCAAATTACCAACCAAAATCTACAGTGTGACCCTTTTATTGGTTTTGTAATTTTGCATGCAAAGGTATCAATTACAGGACCCACTCCCTTGAGTGCGTGAGTTGTGTATTTTTGGACCTCTCCCAATTTTAATTCATCCATGTATATTTTTTCCAAACTCCAAAGTCCAAAAATGCCTCAGCCTATAATACTATATATATATTGTATATCGTATAGCTCAGCCCTCTCAGTGGCTCCAAATTTGAGGCAGATCCATCTGTGGATTCTAAACTCACCCTTATGCCACTTTGTTTTATCCACACTTTCCCCAAAACAAAACCCCCCCTCTTTTTTTTATCTCTTTTCCTTTTTAACCATAACATTGGATTCCATCCAATCTCACCTCCTCCTTTTTTGTGTATTAAATAAAAAATTTGTGTCAATGCTACGTGTTTCTCTTCAAATCACATCATTAGCAACATAAAATATAACAAAAATCTCACCCGGAATCTTGAAAATAAACAATAAGTTTCTGACCAGACGCCTGACTATAATTAGTTGAAAGATAGAAAGAAAAAGAAAAAGAAAAAGGGAAAAATGATTGAACAAAAGGGGATTTCGTGTTGCAGGGTTGAACTCTGGATTAGCAACAATGTGTTATCAAAATAGAGAAGTACTACTGTTGAAGTTGTACAAAATAAACAAATCAAATTAGAACTGTATGTAGTTTTGTTGTCTACCCTCGAACTGTGGAACTCCATTAAAGAGCAAAAGTGGAAGCCGTACTAAAGATGGAAGCTTTTAGATTTGCCTCACAGAGCACCAAAACACCTACAACATTTGAACTGCATTCATCTAAATAACCCATTGATAAACACACATTTACAGATCTCAAATTGGAACCAAATAATTAATTAAAACACATAGGAAATCTAAATTAATTAGATAGAGAGAGAGAGAAAGTGGTGTGATTAAGCAGCTTACTCTGAATTTGAAACAACTTTTTTGCCTCGAGCTCAACAGAGTCTCGAGTCTCCTTTGCAAATCCGTTTGATTGAAAACTTGACCCGAAGAGCTCAAATAGACATTGCGTTGGAGAGGGGGAGACCAGAGGCCACTTGTCTCGTAATCGAACCCAAATTCTGTGGCATCGAAGAATTTCTCCAGCAGTCTGTCCGAAGTGTATTTGGATACCCTCTGAACCTTGGGAGTGGAAGTGACGATGTTATTAGGAGGTGAAAATGGCAGTTCGGAGATGGACATTGATGGAGTTTGGAACCCAATTGGAGCCCAGAAAACACAAAGGAAAAGAAAAAAGGGGATCGGATTAGGATAATGTGATGAAAATACAGGGGGGTGTTTGAAGAAGACAAAGGTGTTTTCTTTTTCAGAGGTTTAAATGTGATGGCCGATGGGTGAGGAATATTGAAATGGACGTATGTGGCTGTGCAATTCAATGATAGAGAAGACGTGACAAGCATGATGGTCAATTTGGGGGTTTTTTCCTTTGAATTGGGGGCCAGGCCGAGGTCTATTATTCTGGGTTATGTTCCATAATTAATAATAATAATAATAATGATAGAGTTGTTGGGTTCATTTGATTGAAGTGTTAGGTGGAGGGTTGAGAAATCAGAATAATGAGATTATTATTTGGGGGTAGAGAATCGAGATGATTAAAAAGGAAAAGAGAGCTTGTTGACCCTACCTTATTGGGGGGTTTGAACAGAGTCAGAGTGAAAGAATTGGTAATTAATGATCGACCCATTAGAACATCTATGAAGGATTTTAAAGATGGAGGGAATCAGAGGCTGATGAGGTAATTGGTCCATGTGACATCACAGATTCCAGGGCTTTGGGTAAGGTTCTGGTTGTGTTTGGACCATAAGAAGAATAGGGAGAAATTGTCCAAAACGGCGTTGGGGGATGGGTACTGGGTAGCTCGTTTTTTTCTCAAGTACTTGATTAGTGAAGTGAGGATTTAAAAATGGGTTGTTTGATCAGATTGGCAGCCTGAAATTGTCTGCCTTTTTTGCTGATTTTGACTTCCGATCACTGATTCCTGGTGGGTCTCGGTTAGTTGGTGTCATCTCCATCTCTCTTTCACTGTGAATTGAATAATGTATGTTATCCATTTTATGAAGCATGAAAAAAGTTAAAAGGGTGGAATGGAAGAGAGATCAGAAGGAAAATGGTGGTGCCTTAACTTTTGGTAAGTGAGGGGAAATTGTGCAATCTCATTCACTGCCAATTTCCCACACAGCCTCTTCTCTCTCGAAGGATGATATGTTTGTTTGGTGATTTCTTTTAAAAATAATATAACAAGTGAATGTGTAAGAATTTGAATTCATGATATCTTGGTCAAGATACATATATCAATTACAAACTCATGTTGATGTTGGTGCATTTATTTTAATTAACCATAATTTTATAAGCTATTGAATGGCGTGTTTGAGAGTTTTTTCTTTTATTTTTTTTTTTTTTGTTAAAGATAGTATTTGTGTCCCAAGTACTCCTATAGAAATCATTTGTCTTGAAATACCATTTTCATAAGTATCCATAGTATGAGTGGGTTTGAGATGTCTATTTTTTTTGGAAGACTAGAGCGTGTATTTTGCCAAAATTTTAAGGCTAAATTTTGGTAGTTTGTGTATTCAAAATTTTAGTTGGATCTATTCACAAAATAACCATTGAGTGCCTTTGTCAAAAACCCTCAAATTTTGTATGAAAACCAATTTTGATATCTATTTCTTTCCAACTTTATCAATCTAATACTCGACAAAAATACATTTAATCATTCATTTAAACAATTCCTCACACAATAATTTATTAGTAAGTCAAAATTACTATACTAGTTCAAATTTAAGGTAAAAGTTGAAAGATACGTCTATAAAACACAATAGGATAAAATAGAAAGCTTAGAATACAAACTGACAGTTCAGTATAAAAATAAAAATTTTTTGTTGTTGTTGTTTTTTCTTTTTTTTTTTTTTTTAAATACTTGCAAATAAAAGCACTAAAACTAAAGAAACAATATATTCAAATCACAAAATCACATACATCAACTGAGGTCACAATTAAAGTTAAAAACCATATGTTGTGAGCAAATACCATAATTATCCTTCTGAATTCCGACAGTGGAATCTAATCGAGGGAGGACAGTGACGTCATTTAGACAGTTTCCTCGGGTTAATCTTAATCCTGTCTGCTCGAAGTTGAAATGTTTTGAAAATGGACATTTAATTTAATTTGTAAACCCTCTCCCTTTGTTTGGCTTTTGACTGTGGAGTCCTGCCCAGGTCCAGAGGGGTCCTCCGCATTTCCCACTCTCTTGATTTGAACAAAACAAAGGCTCCAAAAAGAAAAAAAACACAGCTCCGGTAGAAAAGAAAGGAAAAAGAAAAGATTTTTACAGTGACTGTGGTCTGTGAGAGAGTGGAGAGAGAAAGTCCGCGATCTGGAAGAAAACCCCTCTCTCTCTCTCTCTCATTGTCCTTTTGAAGGGGTTCTGAGAAATGGCTGCCTACAGAGCTGAAGACGACTATGACTATCTCTTTAAGGTGGTCTTAATCGGAGACTCTGGCGTTGGCAAGTCCAATTTGCTTTCTAGGTTTACCAAAAACGAGTTTAGCCTCGAATCTAAGTCCACCATTGGGGTCGAGTTCGCCACTCGGAGCTTGAATCTTGATTCCAAGGTTATTAAGGCTCAGATTTGGGACACCGCTGGTCAAGAACGGTGAAAAACTCTTTTCTCTCTGCCTCTGCTTTTCCATTTCATTTCTATTCTTTGTTTCTGATTTTATGATCTGGGTCCTTGTCTTTTTTAGTGGAAACATTGTTATGTGACATATGGGCCTCTGTTATTGTTTTATTGCTTTTTGCCTTCTGGTCTTTTTGATATGTAATTGCCCCTAAATTAATTGCTCTATTACCTTCGATTTCTTTGTTCATTTGTTTAATAGGTTTAGTTGTTGATCGATTGTAATGGGGTACCAGAAGGGTTTGGTGGATCTAAGGACGTTTATTCAAACGTAGATTATTTATAGCTAAACAGGAGTCTTTTCTTTTCTGATACTCACTCACTATTTGAATTGATTGATTTTTTTCCTTCTTTTCCCTGGTGGGGAAGAGGGGTTGATTTTTGTGTTCTCTGGTATGGTAGTGTCAATGCCATGAATATGAGTAAAGAATGTGAAGTAAAATGTGGAAACTTTGTAGTGGTTTTGAAAATGGTACAAAGTTTACTGTCACGAGGAGGTTGAGAGATATTTTAGGAGAAAATAGAGCTCTGTTTTGTTGTATAATTTGCATCGGTAGTTGGCACCTAAATGAAAGGCTTCCATCACTATCATGCTAGATGCTACCTTCTCCATAAAACACCACAGAGAAAGGAACAAGAGAGATAGCAAATCAAAATGATAGGCCTTTTGATAGATCCAAATGCAATTTTTCATTTGGTAATGCATATGCTCGAAACGTGTCTTTTAGGCTTAAAGTAGAAGGTCCCGTTGCGTAATTCAGACATTATGTGTTTGCCAGTACAAATTGCACAACCGAAGACTTTCAGCTGTAACATCAACTTTTTATAAAGCTTACTGTTTCTCTACTATTCTCTTCAAAATAATTACCACCTTTCCATTTTTAGGCATTGTGTTAGGTTATTCCACCTCAATTATGGAAGTGGTTGAGTGTTGGTTTATAAATGTGAAGAAGAACTTCACCTCCTTAAATTAGTGTTTGGGTTGAGAGTGCCAATGAATATCATTTAGTAGTATAGGTTAGGCTACAGTTTATGCGAGATTGTGTTTATGTGAACATCTAATTCAAAGATTGATACACATCCCTTATCGTGTAAAAATGGTTGACATGGAGTGTTGTTTATAAACTATATGAGACAGTTTCACCTCCTTAACTGGTCTTTGAGGTTGGCAGAACCCATTAACGCTAATATCTTGGGGTTCTGCAGGCAGCTATAAGATCTACTTTTACTGTCTTATTTATCTGGAAAGATTGACTCAGTTCTCATTATATCATGGTGAGTGCAAGTTAAATGGAATTCTAACCTTTCACAAGAGGGGTAATTTTAACGATTGATGGATGGCTGCCGGTAGATGATTGTCACATTTTGTACTGTTAGGCAAGGAATTTAGGAAACGATCAAAAAAGTTACATTTAATGCCTGTATATATCTCATGTATAATTCTCGAGTGAACAAGCTTTATCTGTACTGAAAATGGGAGCTTGACCTGCGTGACAGACTTTTAACTAGTTTCACCTTATAATTTAATTGCCTTACATTTCCACATCTCTCTTCTGTCATATAATCTTCTCAAATTTATAGGTACCGAGCGATTACAAGTGCTTACTATCGAGGGGCAGTTGGTGCCCTGCTTGTGTACGATGTTACTCGACACTCCACATACGAAAATGTTGAGAAGTGGTTGAAGGAGTTGAGAGATCATACTGATCCCAACATTGTAGTGATGCTAGTTGGCAACAAATCAGATCTACGCCACCTAGTGGCGGTCTCGACCGAGGATGCAAAATCATTTGCTGAGACAGAGTCCCTATACTTCATGGAAACCTCTGCCCTTGAAGCCACAAACGTGGACAATGCCTTTGCTGAAGTGCTTACACAAATATACCACATAGTGAGCAAGAAGGCGATGGAAGCTAGTGACGATGCGGCTGCATCAGCCGTTGTAGCTAAAGGGGAGAAAATCGACATCAGTAAGGACGTCTCTGCGGTAAAGAAAGGTGGTTGCTGTTCCAGCTAGAGTTCCAACCCGAAGTTGCTGCGCTGGTTTGTCTCCTCGCCCGATTCCTATTTTACATTTTGTTTTACACATGGTACACCGTGGTTGTGTGAAATTTTTTCCAGGGATGCATAGAGTAGGAGCAATTCATGGGGATTGATTTGATGTACTTTACTGTTTCGTTTACTGATAATGTTAACTTCTTATGCAACAAAAAATACTGATGCTTTAGCTGCTAAACATGGGAGTTGGGGATTACGGTTTATACTTATTTGACTTTTGAGGGACTTTGTTCCCCAATTACAGAATTGTTATGGCTTTTAGTTTTCAAAGTCCAAGATAGGTTTCACCTATTTTCTTCTTTTCTTATAGTTTATTCCTGCTGTGGTTTGTTTCCCAGAATATCTGAAGTTGTTAGAAATATTAATAGAACTCCAACTCCTACACATAATTATTTCATTATTTGTGTTTGCCGTTTACTTTTATATCCATTCGAAAGCTTAATGATATCGAACATGAGCATAGCTCAGCGGTATTGATATGCAATTCCTCCCTTTGAGGTTGCTATATCTCCAAATTATTGTACCCTAAAAAAAAAAGCTCAATGATATCGGGTTTCACAGGTCGAGTATATGGTGGATCGGATACTAGGCCTCACCCTCCAGATATGTAAATATATTTTGTTGTTGTTGAAGATATATTGCCTAGCAAGATGGCTCAGGTTGGCTTTATACATATTATTATTATTTTATTTTTTATTTGAAGTTAAATAATTGGCTAAACAGCCGTTCCTAATCTTTTAGGTAATGTTATATTTAATTCTTAATTATTTAAAATTTTAATTTTCCCGTATTATATTAAAAATTATTATTAGATCATTCCAAAAATAAATTAAACAACGAATAAATATATCATTAAATTATTACTTTAATAATATGTTTCATCCAAGCATTTCACTTAAAAGAACATAAATTTTGTTCGTGAACATAGACTTTTTGTTAATTTTAATTTTATTTTTATATAAACTAATCAAGAACTTTAAATATATTGAGGTTAGACACTTTTGGACACGTCACCTAAAAAAATGGATTTTCTGGATGGTTAGACATATTTTGTCATGTTAATAAAATAATAATTTAATGATATACATTTTGTCGACAAATTTTTAATAATTTTCGTATGAAATGATTTAATAAAGAACTTTTAATACATCAAGGTCAAAAATTAAAATGTTAAAAAATTAAAGATTAAATTAAGAATTTAATGTTAAATGTAGCGTAGATATTTCCAATCAATTTAGTTTATTTCTTTGAAACTAGAATTAAATCCAAATTTTAGTTTTTTCTTTCTAAAATTAAAAATAATTTCGCTGTCGGGAATTGAACCCAGCTTTCTCGAGTGAGAGCAAGTATCCACTTTTGTTGATGGTAATAAAATAATAATTTAATGAGACATCCACTTTTGTTAACAAATTTTTTATGGGATGATCTATTAAAGAAATCAAGGTTAAAATTAAAAATCTTTAAAAGTTAAGAACTTAATATTAAATGTACATAGATATTTCCGTTCAATTTAGTATCATTCTCTGGAATTATAATTAAATCCAAATTTGGTTTTTCTTGGAAATAAAAAAATTCCGTTGCCGGGAATCGAACCCGGGTCTCTCGGGTGAGAGCCGAGTATCCTAACCAACTAGACTACAACGGATATTTGTTTAGGCCTTAGATATAATCTAATTTAATTTTAATTTACAAAATCTTCTCCTCATATATACATATTTTTTAAGTAAATCTTCTCCCCATATTTTAAATAAATTTTCACGATTCTCTTTCCATATTTTAAATAAATCTCGGTTCTCTCTCATTATTTGGCCTCCCCTCTTCCTGCCATGGGTCACTCTTAATTAGATTATACAAAATACCATTTTAAGTTTTAGTTAAGCGTTGAACTTTAAAAGTTTTATTTTTATTATTGAACTTTAAAAATTTTAAAAATAACAACTGTCGGTCAAAACATATGGTGGAAATCTAATGTGGTAAGTTGTGAAAGTAGTGGTACACGTACATGGCTACTTAAAATTTAGAGTCGGTTTATGCCCACATGATTTCAAAAAGTTAACATATAATGGAAATCTAATGTGGTGAGTTGTAGAAAAACAACAATTTTTCGTTAATTTCCTATTAAAATAAAGATGAAATTATGATGTGACAAAGGTGTAAAATTGAGATTACATAATCTCAATTTTATATATCCAATTTCATAGATCACACTGTTGACTTTTCCTATGTTTGAACTATCCATGATTAAATAGGTTGTTAAATTTTATTGATGACTTTTCTCACAATATGCGATTTCGCAAACAAATTCAACTAAAACTGTAACTCTCTCAAGTTTCCCCCTCTAATCAACAACATTTCAGATGTGATTGACGGAAAAAAGAAAGACAATTTTTACTTTTCATATCAAAAAAAATTTATTGAGCAATAGTACCTAAATTTGTGGTCTACTTACCCCATAAATATAAATATATATACACACCATCTGTTCGAGATGTTCGAGTTTCCACGAGAAATCCTTCTCTATACAAGTTCTCAGATGGCCAGTTTTTGGAGCTTCTCTTTACGGTTCGAGACATAAAGAAATTTCCTAAATATTTTGATTAGGGGAAGAAAACAATATTTTATTTTAATCTCCAAATTTCTCCTCCCCTCCAAATGATAATAATAATAATAATAATAATAATAATAAATAAATCACACTCTTTTGAATTAACCAAAGATTCTTCATTTTTATTTTAACAAGAAAGCTAACAGAATCGTTTGTTGAAGGTTAAGGATCAACACGAAAATTTCGGAAATAATAAGTCCATAAATGAAACCTATCTCAAATTTTAGGGATATAGTTGAAACTTACCACTTATTTTTCCACGTGTATCTCTATTTTTACCTATCACATTTTCATCTTAAAACTCACTATCAATTTATAGGCATTTTGTATAATTTACCCTTCCAATATATAATTTTAGGTAATACTGTATTGATTTTATAGTAAATTAAAATTGAAAAAGATAGTGGTATTGCATATACAATAGAATTAAATTTGAAATGAGAGTGGGCGAGAGGTGCAATTGTTGAGCGTGGTGAAAGTTGACTAGTCAACGAAACGGTAAAAAAATAAAAATATCTTGTGAATGGGACGTGTGTGGAGCATTGGAAGTGAGCGCGGGCGTGGTACTTCGGGCTCCACTCCAAAGATTACATTTAATTTTGTATTACCCAAATCTCTCTACTTACCCATCAAAATTCTCCAAATATTGGAGAGGAAAATAATAATTCATCTTAATCTCGAAATTTGTCCCACCGCAAAAACAACAATAATAAATAAATAAACAAATGATACTATTTTTGTAGGTTGAAAAAAAACGACACTTGTTTTATAGAAACCAAGCAGATCCACATTTTTATTTTCATTTTAGTGAGAAAGCTAGCTAATAAAATTATTTTGTTGAAGGACGTCAAAAGGTTGTTAAAATGAAAAATTTGAAATAATAAGCACATAAATAAAATGTGTCTCAAATTTCAAGGACATAATTGAAACTTTGCACCTATTGTGTTGATTTTATAATAAATTAAAATTGAAAAAAATATAGGTATTACATATATAATAGAATTAAATTTGAAAGGAAAAAACCGGAATGTGATTGTGTGGAGGGTGGTATGAAAGTTGACCAAGTCAACACAACGGTAAAAAAAAAAAAAAATATTTTGTGAATGGGACGTGTAACGACTGGGGAGCGTCGTGGGAAGTGGTGCTTCCCCTCCAACAGTTACATTATTTAGTTTTATAATCTCTCTATAAAACCCTAATTTGCTCTCCTCTCCTCTCCTCCATCACAATCGATGGACAAAAAATAGGGTTAGGGTCAGAAGAGATGTGAAGAAATAGTCGAGAATTGAGCAGATCAAGATTTCTTTGTTTGCTTCGCATTCCGGTAATTTCTTTCTCTTCTTGATCTTTTTCTTCCTTTCCAATTGGTATGCCTTACTTAATTATTATAATTATTTGATTAATTACATCGTCTAGATCATGTCATGTATATGTTTATATTTAGGTGTGTTCTTAATTTCTCTTGCTTTCGAAACTTCTTTCATCCATCAGATTTTATAATTAGTTTTGAATACTACTCTATATCGATGGAGGATCCAGTGGGATATATCTCTCTGATCTGTTGTGTTGTTTTGTATCAACATCTGGGTCTCAAATTTGGGGGTTTTGCCCTTTCTTTCCTCCTTCTTCTGTTTACTATTATTTCATACCCTAAACCCTAATTAGGTCTACATAATATATTTGGACTTGGCAACTATGTATCGAATTCTTTAATTTTTTATGGAATTAGTTACATATTTTTAAGTGTTCAGTTCACTGATTTGATGATTTTGCTGGGTTGTCTTGCAGAAAACAATATATTTTAATTTCCTCCACTGTGCCGGGTTTAGGGATTGGAGCAGATTAATTAATGAGGTAATTAATTAAAAAGATGATGTTCTTGTTCTGAACTCAGCCACAGCCACAGCCACAGCCACAGCCACAGCCACAGGTTGAATATATATTGTAAGCTAATTAATTTAATTTCTGTTTTGGATTACAGGTTGGCATGGCATACGCATATGCATATCGAAATCATCCTCTACCAAATCTCACACACAGGACTCTTAAGAGGTATGTCATGTAATTCCCATTAATTTTTTGGGCTTCTGTGCTGCGTATTATTCATTTTTTTAGAGCAGTTTTTCTTTTCTCCTCTCTAAAAATTAAAATTATTTCCTCTCTTTTTAACATTTTTGTGAATCTCTTTCAATTTTTTTCCTACGCTTTTCTTTTCTCCTCTCTAAAAATTAAATTTTTTTTTTTGGTAAAAAGTTTTTCCCTCCTATTAACTTTTCTATCGCTAAAAGTTTTTCCCTCTGTCACAAAAACTATCTCAAAAGTTTACGTATAACTCTTTTAACTTTCTTTTCTTCAGGACCTTTTCTCTTCTAATGTACTTTCTAAAACATTTTTTCTCTATTATTTTTCAAACTTTTTTCTATTTCAAAATTTTTTAAATCTCTTTAAATCTTTAAAGTTCAAATATTTTCTCTCATTATATATTACTTTTCTCTATAAAAAGATTTTTTCCCTTCAATTTTTATTTCATTTTATAATTTTTTCTCTGTCAAAAGTTTTTGTGCATCTTTTTTTAACTTTTTTTTTTATATTCAATTTTTCTTTCACAAAACTTATTTTTAATCTCTTTTTAATTTTTATCTTCAAAATTTCTCCTAATTTAATGTTTGATCTCTTTAAAAGTTTTTCCAATATCTTCTTTTCACTCTTTTTCTTTTTCTAAATCTCTTTTAACTAATATTATCTTCAAAGTTTCTCTATTTCACTTATTTCTATATGTTAAAGTTATTTCATTTCTTTTAAATTAATTTTACAAACTCTTCTAATTTTTTTTTCATATTTTTTTCTCTCTAAAATTTTTAATGTACTTTTTACTTTTTTTCTCTCTCAAAATATTTTTAGTAAATTTACTTTTAAAATATCTACTTTTAACATTTTTCCAATCTCCATTTAATTTCCCTTTTCCCTCATTTTTTTCTTTTTGTAAATTTCTTTAACTCTGTTATCCTCAAAATTTCTCTATTTAACTTCTTTTCTATAGGATAAAGTTATTTCATCTTTTATTTTTAACTTTTTCTTCTAAATTAATTTTAAAAACTCTACTAACCTTTTTTTTCTCCTTCTACTTTTTTCTCTAAAAGTTTTTGCTGTACTTGTATAACTTTTTTTTTTATTTTTAAAAAGCTTTCCCTCTCTTTCAAATTTTCTTCTCTCCCAAAAGCTTTCCTTTTTAATTTCTTTTAACTTTTTTATTTTTAAAATATCTCTCCTACCATTTTTATCTTAAAAAATTCTCTTATTTTACAAACCTTTTTCACTCTAAAAGTTATTTCTTTTCTCTTTTTAAGGTGGTTCTCTCTTAAAAATTTTGTGAATCTTTTTCAATTTTTCTATATCCTTTTTTTACACCTTATTTTTCTCCTCTCTCAAAATTTCTTTAAAACTTTTTCAAAAATTATATTTCGAAAGTTTATGTAAAACTCTTTTAACTTTCTTTTCTTGAAAACTTTTTCTCTCATTATGTATTTTTTTTGTCTCTCAAAAACATTTCTTCGCTATTTTATTTTCAAACTCTTTTCTCTCCCAAATTTTTAAAATCTCTTTAAGTTTTTAATGTTAAAATATTTCTGCTCATTATATCTTTATTTCCTTCAAAATTTTTCTTATTTTATAATATTTTATCTCTAAAAGGTTTCCAAATATTTTTTAACTGCTTTCCTCCTTCAAAATTTGTTGTGTATCTCTTTTTAACTTTTTCATCTTCATAATTACTCTGATCCTATAAAAGTTTTTTATCTAAAAAACGTTTCTTTATCTCTCTTTTTAACTATTTTTTTCTCTAAAATTTTTTAAAGATTTTTTACTTTTTTTCTTAAGAAAAATTATCTAATTATATAACTTTTTCTCTCTTAAAAGTTTTTCTCCAATTCAAAATCTTCTCGATCAAACCTTTTTGTAAATATCTTTTTTAACATTTTTATCTTAAAAAAAAAATTATTGTACCACTTTTTCACTCTAAAAATTATTTCATCTCTTTTTAACGTTTTTCTCCCTTAACATTTTTAATCCAATTTTTTTTTTCTATCATTTTTCGAACTTTTTTCTCTTTCAAAATTTTTTAAATCTCTTTAAATCTTTAAAGTTCAAATATTTTCTCTCATTATTTATATTACTTTTCTCTATAAAAATATTTTTCCCCTTCAAATTTTATTTCATTTTATAATTTTTTTCACTCTCGAGAGTGGTTAGTGCATCTCTTTTCAACTATTTTTTTTATTTTTATATTCAAAATTTTTCTTTCACTTTATAACATCTCTCCGTAAAAGTTTTTCTCTCGGTCAAACTATTTTTCTTTCACAAAACTTATTTTTAATCTCTTTTCAATTTTTATCTCCAAAATTTCTCCCATTTTAATGTTTTCTCTCTTTAAAAGTTTTTCCAATATCCTCTTTTCACTCCTTTTCTTTTTCTAAATCTCTTTAACTAATATTATCTTCAAAATTTCTCTATTTCACTTATTTCTATATGTTAAAGTTATTTCATTTCTTCTAAATTAATTTTACAAACTCTTCTAATTTCTCTCTAAAATTTTTAATCTACTTTTTACTTCTTTTTCTCTCTCAAAATTTATATTTTTTTAAATGATCTCCTTTTTATCTTCAACAATTTTCTTTCATTCTATAACTTTTTTTATTTATAAAAGTTTTTCCCTCTCTCTTTCAAATTTTCTTCTCTCCCAAAAGTTTTCCTTTTTAATTTCTTTTAACTTTTGTACTTTTAAAATATCTATTTTAACATTTTTCTAATCTCCATTTAATTTCTCTTTTCCCTCATTTTTTTTTCTTTTTGTAAATTTCTTTTAACTCTGTTATCCTCAAATTTTCTTTATTTAACTTCTTTTCTATAGGTTAAAGTTATTTCATCTTTTCTTTTTAACTTTTTCTTCTAAATTAATTTTAAAGACTCTACGAACTTTATTTTCTTTACAGTTTTTTTTTCTTTCTACTTTTTTCTCTCAAAAACTTTTTTCTTCTCTCCCAAAAGCTTTCCTTTCTAATTTCTTTTAACTTTTCTACTTTTAAAATATCTCTTTTAGCATTTTTATCATCAATTTTTTTTATTTGACCATCTTTTTACTCTAAAAGTTATTTCTTCTCTCTTTTTAACGTTTTTCTCTCTTAAAATTTTTGTAAATCCTTTTTAATTTTTTTATAATCATTTTTTTTCTACGCTTTTTTTTCTCCTCTAAAACATTTTTTCTCTAACTTTTTCAAACTCTTTTCTCTCCCTATTTTTTAAAAAATCTCTTTAAAATTTTAAGGTTCAAATATTTTCGCTCATTCTATACATTATTTTTTTCAATTTTGGTTTCATTTTATTTTTCTCTCTCAAAAAGTTTTTTGCATCTCTTTTAACTTTTTTTATCTTAAAAATTTTTCACTCACTCTATAACATCTTTCCATAAAAGTTTTTGGGTTTTTTTTTTTTAACTTCTTTTGAACTTCAAAATTTTTCTTTCATTCTATAATATCTCTCCATAAAAGTTTTTTCCTCTTGCAAACTATTTTTCTTTTACTAAACTTATTTGTTTTAATCTCTTTTTAAATTTTCTTTCTTCAAAACTTCCCTCATTTTAATGTTCTCTCTCTAGAAGTTTTTTCCCAATCTCCATTTAATTTCTCTTTTCCCGCATTTTTAAAAATCTCTTTAACTATATTATCATCAAAATTTCTCTATTTAACTTTTTTTATATGTTAAAGTTATTTCATTTTCTTTTTAACTTTTTCTTCTAAATCAATTTTACAAACTCTTCCAACTTTTTTTTTCTTCACATTTTTTCATCATTCTACTTTTTTCTCTCTCAGAAAATTGTTGAAGATAACGTTTTTTTAATTTATAAATGTTTTCCCTCTCTCTTTTAAATTTTCTTCTCTCCCAAAAACTTTCCTTTCTAATTTCTTGTTATTTTTAAAATATTTCTTTTAACATTTTTATCTTCAAATTTTTTTCCCTCATTCTACCACCATTTTCACTCTAAAAGTTATTTCCACTCTTTTTAACGTCTTTTTCTTAAAAATTTTGTGAATCTTTTTAAATTATTTTGTATCCATTTTTTTCTTTGATTTTCTTGTAAACATCTTTCTAACTTTCTTTTCTTCAAAATTTTCCTTACACTCCATTAATTTTTCTATCTCTAAAAGTTTTTTCCTCTATATACAAAAAATTATCTCTTAATAGTTTAACTTTTTTGTTCTTCACAGTTTTTTTTTCTCTCTAAAAGTTTTTTCTGTACTTTTTCTCTCAAAATATTTTTGTAAATCATATTTTTTAACCTTTTTATCGTCAACAAGTTTCTTTCATTCTATAACATTTTTTTTTATTTATAAATGTTTTTCCCTCTCTATTTAAAATGTTCCTCTCTTCCAAAAGCTATCCTTTTTAATTTCTTTTAAATTTTTTATTTTTAAAATTTCTCTTTTAACATTTTTATCTTCAAAAGATTTTCTCTCATTCTACTACCTTTTTACTCTAAAAGTTATTTCTGGTCTCTTTTTAACGTTTTTCTTTCTTAAAAATTTTGTTAATCTCTTTTAATTGTTTTATATCCATTTTTTCTACGCTTTTCTCCTTTCCTCTCTCAAAATTTTTCTTTTAAATTTTAACGCTTTGAACTTTCTTTCTTCAAAACTTTTTCATTATGTACTTTTTTTTTGTCTAAATCTCTTCAAAATTTCAACGTTGAAATATATTCTCTCCATAAACGCTTTTCCCTCTTTCAAACTATGTTTTTTCACAAAATTTATTTTCTTAATCTCTTTTTAATTTTTTATCTTCAAAACTTCACTCATTTTAATGTTCTCTCTCTAAAAGTTTTTCCCAATCTCCATTTAATTTCTCTTTTCCCTCATTTTTTTCAAAATCTCTTTAATTATATTATCTTCAAATTTTCTATATACAAAAATTATCTCTCAAAGTTAATGTAAAACACTTTTTAACTTTATTTTCCTCAAAACTTTTTATCTCCTGTACTTTTTTTTGTCTCTCTAAAACATTTTTTCTCTATTTTTATTCAAACTCTTTTCTCTCCCAATTTTTTAAAATCTCTTTAAGTTTTTGACGTTCAAATATTTTCTCTCATTATCTTAAAAATTTTTCTCTATAAAAAGATTTTTCCTTCAATTTTTATTTCATGTTATAAATTTTTCTCTCTCAAAAAGTTCTTGTGCATCTCTTTTAACTTTATTTATCTTAAAAATTTTTCTTTCACTCTCCATGAAAGGAAACTATTTTTCTTCAACAAAACTTCTTTTTTAATCTCTTTTTAATTTTTTTTTTATCTTCAAAATTTCTCTCATTTTAATGTTTTCTCTCTCTAAAAGTTTTTTTCATTCTCTATTTAATTTATCTTTTCCCTCCTTTTTTCATTTTGTAAATCTCTTTAACTATATTATTTTAAAAATTTCTGTATTTAACTCTTTTCTTATGTGTTAAAGTTATTTCAGCTTTCTTTTTAACTTCTTTCTCTAAATATATTTTAACTTTTTTTTTTCTTCATCATCTTTTTTAACCTTTTTATTTTAGAAAAAAGTTTTCTTTCATTCTATAACTTTTTTTATTTATAAAAGTTTTTCCCTTTCTCTTTCAAATTATCTTCTCTCCCAAAAGCTCAATTTTTTTATATCTATTTTTTAAAAAGTTTTTTCTCTCCCAATTCTTTTAAATCTCTTTAAAATTTTAATTTTCAAATATTTTTTCTCATTATATACATTATTTTTCTCTATAAAAAGATTTTTTTCCTTCAATTTTATATTTCATTTGATTTTTTCTCTTTCAAAAGGTTTTCTCTCTCAAAAGATTTTTTTGCACTTTTATTTTCTCTTCTCTCAAAATTTTACTGTAAACATGTTTAACTGTTTTTTCCAAAATTTTTCTCCCATTCTATTAACTATAATATCTCTCCATAAACGTTTTTCCCTCTTGCAAACCATTTTCTTTTTTCACAAAATTTATTTTCTTAGTCTCTTTTTAATGTTTTTTTCTCTTTTTAATGTTTTTTCTCTTTAACTATATTATCTTCAAATTTTCTCTATTTAACATTTTTTTCTTCACAGTTCTCAAAACATTTTTTGTAAATAATCTTTTTTAATATTTTTATCTTCAACAATTTTCTTTCATTCTATAACTTTTTTATTTATAAAATTTTTTCCCTCTCTCTTTCAAATTTTATTCTCTCCCAAAAAGCTTTCCATTTTTATCTTCAAAAAAATTTCTCTCACTATACCATCTTTTTCACTCTAAAATGATTTCTTCTTTCTTTTTAACGTTTTTCTTTCTTAAAAATGTTGTGAATCTTTTCAATTTTTTTATATCCATTTTTATCTTCAAAATTTCTCTCATTTTAATGTTCTCTCTAAAAGTTTTTCCCAATCTCCATTTAACTTCTCTAAGTTTTCTCATTGTATATAACTTTTTTCTATATGTTTTGTACTTTTTACTTTTTTTTTTCCTCCCAAAATCTTTCATTTTTAATTTCTTCCTTTTATAATGTTTTTCTCTTTAAAATTTTAATCTCTTTTGAACTTTTTTTTTATCTACAAAATTTCTCTCATTCTATATATCATTTTCTATCTCTAGGAGTTTTTAAACTTTCATTTCAACCATTTTTCTCTCCCCTTTTTTTGTTAATCTCATTCTATAACTCTTTAAAAAACATTCTCTCATTCTATATCTATATAGATATATATATATATATTTTTTTTTCTCTTTAAAGTTTTTCCTTCTAGATCTCTTTCAATTTTTAATTTGAACTTACAAAAAAATAAAAGAGATTAAGAGAGAAGAATTTTGAAGTTCAAAATACTGTGCGGGATTGGTTCAAACTTGACCGGTTTAGGACTTAAACAAAAGAAATGAATAATTTTAAAGAGAAAAAAGTCTCCACAGCTTTCATCGAAATAGTCATTAATTTACAGTGAAGGATCGAGGAATGATATTAACAAGTTAAAAGGACATAAAAAGACGTAACTTCGTATTCGAGCGCCGCCGTCTATGCTGAAAATGGTAACTAATTTCTCGGAATAAATCGGATCGAAAAAATCTGCCATTGAGTCGTCGGAAGGGATAAATTTCACATCCAACAATTTCTATATCAGAAACCTCTAATGAAGAATACGCAATTTTAAAGTACAGAGTCGTTAAGATCTATCTCATTTGTTGACCTAAAGGTCACAACTCCAAGAAATTCCATACATAACATGCAATCTAATTGATCCATACAATTTATACTTGCAAACGGGCATGATCCAGCATAAGTTTATTATTATTCTAAACAATGGAAATCATTTGTAGATGAATTTTTTCATTCTTCGGTCTTATAGGTTTGTGATAAGAAATTGAGCCACTCTTTAAGAACATCCTCAGTTTGAGCCAACTGATTAACTTGAGATTTCGACCAACCCAGGTTGGGCAGCACCAATAGTGAAGATGGTATCATAATTTTTCAAAAGCTTTGAGAGGATCATTGAAGTCTATTTCTGAAAAAAGTGGGAGATCAGCAGGTAGCGTTTCTGAACTCAATCCTTCTTCTCTCAGCTTCTGGATGACTTCCTTGAAAACGACCCTATTGCCATTTTCAGTCAGGTGCAGCCCATCACTGCAAACAAATGGACAGATTTCTCTTTCAAGAATGAAAATACTACAGATTCCCATATCAAGAGCAAGGAGAAGTAAGGAGGAGCAAAAAAGTTTCTCATAAGTCGTTCTTTGAAATCTAGATACTTATTAATACAGAAATCTTTTTGGATAGTGAATTTTTTAAAGTTGTTTCCATTTGAGTTTGGTTACTAAGAGTCTCTAACTTGGGAACACTAAAGATGAGGAAAAACACGAGCCATGGATGGTATAAATAAATGCACATTTATGATAAACGTGATCTTATAAAGCAATTTCTAGATAACTAAAGAAAAGGCACCCAACAACACCAGAAGAACCATGGGCAACAAACATGTTACATATAAGCTCAGCCTCAGAGCAGCTCAATTGGTTGAGTTGGCTTAGACTTGCTGTCTGTATGACAGGCCTCCAATTTGGTGCACCTATTCAAGGAAAGTTGAGGGGAAATCAGGCAGGGGATCGTCAGCTAAAAGCAATCAGCCGGAAGTGAGACGAGTAACTTGTAATTTGCATTATCGGGTTCAATAGTTTGTTCGACAAAAGGAATATTTGTACAGGGGATTGCCATGGGGGAAGGGAGTGAGGGTGGGGGGAGTGAGGGTGGTGCTAAGAGTTATTAGACTACCAACCATTGAACCCAAAATCTTAACCTAATAAGTACCGTTTATAGATATTTTAATATCCCCTCACTTGTGGGCTTGGGAATTGGAGAAGGCCTAACAAGTGATTATCAATATTAACTGGGGAGGAAATAACGTTATAGAATGAACTCAAGATCTCTGATACTATGTACAATCACTACTAATTCTGAAAGCTTTGAAATTTTGGATTGTTTTATAATGCTGAATGATAGCTCTCTTTTAAAGCTTTTTCAATCTATTGCTAGATCCTTAACATCGTACAGAGTAAAATCATTAGGAAATGGAAACTTTGACTGGCCTAGTCCGCCACAGAGAGGTAAAAGGGGCAGCTTAAGATTAAGCAATCACACCTAATTCTGTGGCCACATATGTGACAAAAATGTACATTTGTCCAAGTTTTACAAATTTGAATGTCCTGAAATAATTCCATATCTTGTAAATTCCAGGCATACATGATCAGTTCAACAAAACTTCCAAATAATACTGCAACAATGCCAACAGATCATTCGAACCATTTGCCTTTGTAAAAATATCAAAGCAAGCACGTGAATGAAAACAGAAGTACCTTAAACAAGCCTTTTCCCAGCCAGGAATTTGCTGCATCTTAGTCCAAATATCAATCACAGGAACCCCACATTCTGTAGCAACAGCAATGCAAGCCTTGGCATAATCACCAGCTGCATTGTTAGTCCTCTCAGGCTCATTTGATGGATTTTTAATATAAGGGTTTCTGCAGAAATTGTTTTAAGAGAATTGTTTTCATTTCCAATTATCAGACACATCATTTAAAAACTTGACTTAGATTAAGAGCGCAATATAATTTGAGCTAAACCAAGACAATAGTAGCGATAAGCATACAGTAGGCGCCCTTCTTCATCAATAGGAGGAGGAGTGATAAGTAGAATTCGGGTTGCTGGCCATTTCTTCTGAGAATCAAATAGAAGCAAAATTCAGACTCTTTTGGAATTGCAAGTAGAAAAAAAGGAAAAGTGAAACAGAAAAAATCATTGTGTTCTTATGTTGTTTGTAGGCACCACCACCAGTAACTTTTATGCAAATAACAAAAAGTTCCCACAGCAAGATTTGTATAAAGGTAAATTTGCTTTTCTCTGAAGGATTTTCTTGCAAAGTATACAGTTAACAGTCCTTTACATATGCATTTCGATAAGGGAATCCAACTAACCATAAAAACAAAACCCAGTTCAAAGTAATCCCCAATTATCATGCCAACCAAAAGGGTGTCTCCTCCAAAAACTGAGTTAAAAGCTGCTAGTCATATCGTCACATCGTTTTACTTTTAGATTCTACCAAAAAAAGTCTTGTACTAATAAAGACGTTATCCTTACTTATGTATATAAAATCTTCTCCACTTCTAACTGACTTGATCTATGTTCACATTCAAGCACAATATAAATCTAAAACTTTGGATATGGGGTATATTCCCTTTTCAGAAATTATTGACCAAGAATATGGCAGCATTGTGGTGCGAGGGGATACCTTGAAAAAGGAGACGATGGAATTGAGGTTTTGCTTGTATTCATGGAGGGGCACGTGTTGGAAGGCGCCATATCCATCTGGAAGGCAAGCGTCATTAGCTCCAAAGAACACCGTCACGGCAAGCGGCGCACCGTCGCCTCCGCCGTCGCAATATTCAGGGAAGACTCGTTCCAGCACCTTGAGCGCCCATCTCGTATTGTAGCCGCTGTACCCTCTCACCACCACATCGACCTGATCACAATCAAACAGATGAAAATTGAAAAATACACCTCGTATAGAGCTCCCAAAATCTCGCCGATTCAGGATCAGCAATTCACAAAAATGAGGAAAATAAGGTTGGGAGTTGTTCTTGTTAGTGGCTCGAGTGGAATGATCCAGGATTTACCCTGCGAGAGAAATGATGGGCAAGAGCGGCGCCCCAGCCCCCATCAGCAAAAGAAAATTCTGTAATTGAATCGCCGAAAAGATAAATCTTCGGCCTCATCTTTCAAATCGGTTGCTTATTTGCACAGAAGCAGCCGAAACCTAACGGAGTACCATCATCTACTGCACCGGCACGGTGCACCTACATTAGAGCAGTAATTGTGTCATTAATTAGCTGCTTATGACTTTTCGTGATGAAGTGGTTGATTATCTTACTCCGGGTACCTATATCCAAACTTTACAATACTTTTTCGAGTACCCGAGCTTTACAATTGTGGAGTATAAAGGATTCGCACCCAAAACCCTGAAAACTGGGTCGGAATTGTCGCCCAACTGTTCGACGCTTTGCCTCAACAAATCTAAGGAAATTCCCCACAAATTAGGGCATTTCTTTGATCGGTTATTGAAGTACAATCTCTTGCCAGTTGCCCCCATCAATTGCTCAACAACATGCAACAAAAGAAAAATCCAATCCAATCAACATCATCGAGTTCTCCTTTAAGTTGGCCTAGTTAATGGGCCAATGCGAAATCGAAGACTAAGTTGTGGCCTAAACGATGGATACAAAAACCATCGCCATTTATGCCACACGTAGTTGCCGATGGCAGTTTTGAATTACAATTGTAAATAGAACATTCTCAATTCAAAGATGGGGAAAAGGGAAGAAATTCTGTATACGATAGCGCTAGTAGTCATAAACAGCAGCACTCACATGTGGTTTGAGAAAACGAGGTCAAACTTCAAACGTCAAACCTCGTGACAGCAACAGTTAACAAAGCAACAATTTGTCGTTAGATTTCTTATTTCTTCGTTCAAACATCTCCTATTTCTACTTCGTTATACTAAAAAAAAAACTAAAATAAAACATTTTTATTGGGTTTCAATTCTATTTTTTAACTTTTGTCTGTTTTGATCTTTGATATTTATAATATTAATTTTTGTCCATTTTAATCGTATTATTTCAAAAAAAAAGTTCATTTAATTTTTCTTTTTACAACAAATTTGAGGACGGAGAATTGAACTTTCTCCGAGGAGTATCAAAACCTTGATGATTTTAATTTTTGTAGTACATTGTGTAATTTTAATTATTGTTATAAAATCCTAACATCTATTCTCTACAAAAAAAAATCTTTATATAAAACTATGATAATATTTATTTAGTGTAGTATTTATATTGAAACTGCAATATAAAAAATGAGATAATATTTTTTCAAGAAAATCACATTTTTTTAATAACATGTGAACATGTGGAGGTGGGGATTAAACTCACAACATCTTGGTTACTACTTAACTCTGCTCACTTTGACTAGAGAAAATCACTTTTTAAAGAAACCTAAACCTAAATGGATTAAGACAAAAATTGTGGTCGGAGGCTGGAGAAAATTTGTACAATCAAATTACTATACTCCCTCCCATTTACATAATAAATAGAAGAAATGAATCCACATCATTTTTAATACATTGCTGATATGACAATACATTGCTTATATGGCAAGTAGAAAATAGAAGAGAGTATGGTACTCCTATAGTACCATAAATTTTTCGAGATATTGGAAAAGAAAGTATTTGGCTCTTTAACGGTGAAGACGAGAAAATTTTTGGTATAACGACAGTACCAACTATTCACACTACAATTTTTCATTTATAAATAATTTTTTAATATATGTACATCATTTTCAAATGATGCTGATGTTGAACACAATGAATAGTAGTAGTATCTATACTACCATAGTGTAGAAAATCTTCTCGAGAATGTCCTCTTAGATTAATCAGCTTGGACCTCTACTGATTTGAGTGTCAAGTCTTTTTGTCCTTCAGATGCACGAGATACATGAATACTAATTTTGTGCTAAAAAAATATTGAAAATGATATATTTTGAAACTATGTGAATAAATAATGGGAAAAGTTTTTTTTTTATCGAAGATGGAGAGGAATAATCAAAACAGTGGTGCACCAGATTAGACCAAGATCTGTTGGTCGGACTTCACAGTGCAAGTTGCAGGTAGAAGTAAAGTAAGGAATATTGTAAACAGCTGAAACCGAAACCAAAAACAAAACCAAAACCACAGTGCTGACAAACAGGTTGTAATTCAAATGGGTCGTGGTTTCAAGTTTCAACATATTAAAAAATTAAAAGGATCCACCGGTTGCAATTTGCAAACGCTGCATTTTCTTTTTCTCACACGACGACAAGTGCTGGACTTCACTCTAAATACTAAAAAGTAATCATCCCATCGCCCATGGTTTCAGAAACCCCATCTCCAGTTTCAAGGCTTTCCCAATCCTCTATAATTAGTAATTACAACAACTCCAAAACCCACAATAGAAACCTCTCATCTTCCCTTCACAGTTCACATGGAAGCTGCTAATTCCATTGGCTCTGCCTCTGCCTCTGCCTCCCACCCCACTTCGGCGCCACTGCCGCTGCCGGTGGCTCCCAATGCCTCGAGCGGCACGCTCGGCCGCCACCTCGCGCGCCGGCTCGTAGAGATTGGAGTCGGCGACGTGTTCTCTGTTCCCGGAGATTTCAACTTGACCCTTTTAGATCACTTGATATCAGACCCAGAACTGAACTTGATCGGCTGCTGCAACGAGCTCAACGCCGGCTACGCCGCCGACGGCTACGCTCGAGCCAAGGGCGTCGGCGCGTGCGTGGTCACTTTCACTGTTGGTGGGCTCAGCGTGCTGAACGCTATTGCTGGAGCCTACAGCGAGAATTTGCCCGTGATTTGTATTGTGGGTGGCCCCAATTCGAACGATTATGGTACTAACAGGATCTTGCATCACACAATTGGGCTTCCCGATTTCACCCAGGAGCTTCAATGCTTTCGAACAGTCACCTGTTTTCAGGTAACAATCAGATACGAGGATTTTAATTTTGGTTACAATTTGTTTGTGGGTTTAACATTAAAGGCTGAATAAATGCCAATTTAAGCAAAAGTGAATGGTTATTTCAGTGTTCTGTTTTGTTTTTTGGTTTAAAGTGGGAATGTGGTGGTGGCAGGCGATAGTGAATGATTTGGATGATGCGCATGAGTTGATAGACACAGCGATTTCAACTGCTTTAAAGGAGAGCAAGCCAGTCTATATAAGCATAAGTTGCAATCTTCCTGGAATTGCTCATCCTACTTTTGCCAGAGATCCTGTCCCCTTCTGTCTTGCTCCCAAGTATGACCATTTCCTTCTATAAATTGAAAAAACTCAAAACCTTATCATGAGTCAATTAATGATATGTTATAATTTGGTAATTCATATTACTATTGAATCGAATTTTGCATGTGCTTAAAAGTATATATATGTGTGTGTGTAAGTGTGAGAATTTGTATACCTACGACGGCAGGATAAGCAACCAGTGCGGGTTAGAAGCAGCAGTTGAAGCAACTGCAAATTTTCTGAACAAGGCAGTGAAGCCGGTGATTGTGGGCGGGCCGAAGCTAAGAGTGGCGAAGGCACAACGGGCGTTCGTCGAGCTGGCCGATGCGAGCGGATACCCGATCGCGGTTATGCCGTCGGGGAAAGGCCTGGTGCCAGAGCACCATCCACAGTTCATAGGGACGTACTGGGGCGCTGTGAGCACCAGCTTCTGTGGGGAGATAGTTGAATCTGCCGATGCTTATGTATTCGTTGGCCCAATTTTCAACGATTACAGCTCTGTTGGATACTCTCTGCTTGTCAAAAAGGAGAAGGCTGTGATTGTGAATGAGACCCGTGTGACCATCGGCAACGGCCCCTCCTTCGGCTGGGTTTTCATAGCTGATTTTCTTACTGCATTAGCCAAGAGGGTGAAGAAAAACCCCACTGCTCTTGAGAATCACCACCGAATATTTGTCCCTCCTGGCGTGCCTCTAAACTATGCAAAGGACGAACCTTTACGAGTCAATGTTCTCTTCAAACATATCCAGGTTAGCCTAGCCACACGACACCCACAGGATAAAAATTGAAACTTCGAATATATATTTTAAAATTTTCAATTGCTTGAGGAGGGTGAATTTTGTTATTTTCCAACAGCATATGTTGTCTGGAGAGACTGCGGTAATTGCTGAAACGGGCGATTCATGGTTCAACTGTCAGAAGCTTCGCCTTCCTGAAAATTGCGGGTAATTAAGTTTTAGACCTTTGATGGGCTGCTGCGGTTTCTTGTTTTTTCTTGAGTTGTGATCCCATTTTTTTTGTGGCTCTATGTTCAGGTTTGAATTCCAGATGCAATATGGATCCATTGGATGGTCTGTTGGTGCCACTCTCGGATATGCTCAGGCCACTAAAAATAAGCGTATAATCGCCTGCATCGGTGATGGGAGTTTCCAGGTTTGTAAACCAAACACATTTTTGTTTCACTAACGTAGTTTTTTATTTGTACTGATTGAGACAAGTTTGAACATTGAGTTTCAGGTAACAGCTCAAGATATTTCGACGATGATCCGATGTGGGCAGAGGAGCATCATCTTCCTAATCAACAATGGCGGATATACCATAGAAGTAGAGATTCACGACGGCCCATATAATGTGATAAAGAATTGGAATTACACTGGACTAGTTGATGCCATCCACAATGGCCAAGGAAAATGCTGGACTGCCAAGGTTTGACATCCTAACTCTAACTCTAACTCAGTAATGTATGCTTTTGAATTTAGTGATGATTTAAGTTAACTTGTTGGATCCGCAGGTACGAACCGAGCAAGAACTGATAGAAGCGATATCGACCGCAAGCGGCGAACACAAAGAATCTCTGTGTTTCATTGAAGTTTTGGTGCATAAGGATGACACGAGCAAAGAGCTGCTAGAATGGGGCTCTCGCGTGGCTTCTGCAAACAGCCGCCCTCCAAATCCTCAATAGCGACTGCTGAAGGATGAAGTAACGTTAACTGGCGAATAAAAGTAGGCTCAGTTTTTCATTCTGTTTATTAAGATGGAGAAACCTACTCTGCTTCTTTGGATCGGCTGTAAATGCTTGCTTGTCGTGGGATTCACTTTTTTTTTTTTCCCTCACCGTGTTCAATCATTTAAAACATTTTATGTTTTATCTAAGATTTTAAACGTGATACCGATATAAATGTCAAATTCTCAGTTTTATAAAAATGTCTATAGAAATATCTATTGATGTTGATGGATAGATATGAAAAAATTACGAAACTGAAAAATTAAATTAGCAAATAAATATTTTATCATTTTTAAACTAGTTTAAAATTATTAGTATTAACATTGTCTCTATATTAATTATATTTTGTTGATATTTTGTCGATTTTATTGTGATATTATATAAAAATGTGGATACTACAACCAACAAAATGTGGCCAGGAGGGAACCAAAATTTAATGGACTACTCTGGTTGGTGACCAAAACTAAGTGTTAGACTTGAAGCATCTTTGTCCTTTTACAGTTCATTTGATTACGTTAATAGAGATGAACCTGAACCAGATAGAACGGGTGGGGACTCACTCCACTCTAGGGATTAATTACTTTTTAAATCAAAGATAAATTAATAAGTATATTATAATTATATATTTTGTGACAAAATTAGTATTCATATTATTATAGTAATGAATCCAATTTAGCTTTAATGATGTGAAATCTTACCTAATTCATTCATTATGAATTTAAAACAATTCAACTCCTTGGATGGTGTATTTACCAAATAGAATTAATTGGTGGAGCATACCTTAAAATTAAAAATCAATTGTTCTAAAATCAATCTCATTCACATTATTTATTCCCTGGACCCACACATTTTTTAAAATTATTTTACCATTTTTACCTTATCTCTACTCATAACTCTTTATTTTGTATTTTATTTTGTTTTTTTTAACACTAATAATTTCTTTTTCTTTTCTAACAACAAATTATCAACGTGATTTTATTTGTAAATTTCTATTGAAGTTATAAATTATTCTATTTTTACTCTGTCATTATTAATTAATATTGATATATGGTTTCATTTTTATTACATATAAAAATAACAAAATAATTTCATCAATGATAATTGTTGCAATCAATATTATATTTTACTTTTTTAGTTCATATAATTTCAATTACATATATATTTGTTAATATTAAATAAATTATTATAATTACAAATATTTACTATTAGTAAATAGAACTCAAATAAATTATTATTATTATTATTTTAATTAAAAATCATATTAGCATAATTTTTGTTAATTATTTATAATTAGCTAATAAAAATAAGAAAGAAGTATTTTAGTAATGGTTAAATATCTTATTCTTATTTCGTTTCGAGACAGTTTTTGTAAACAATATCAGTATATTTATAATTTCTATTCCAGAATTCTAAGTAAACTATATAAAAAAAAACAATATTTTCATTATAATTGATTTAATTCCGATTCTTCATTCATTTCAAAAACAAGGCCTAAAAAATTATACTAACAAAGCTGGGAGACCTTAATATAAGCAAGATATGAGACTCATCACCACCTCTTCTCACCTGTATCCCTCTATTGACAATAATTTAGGAAAATTTTTAATGGATAGCAAAAATATTTATCATATTTACAAATATAGTAACAAAATTTTAGTCTTGCAAATATAATAATATTTTTAAAGTCATATTTTCATTTTATTTGCTATTCCAATTTTGCCCTTGTTACTAATCTACTTCATATTATACACGCTAGTAACATAACTGATATATTTAATATGAAGTATATTATTGACATACTTGATATATTTTGTATATCTATTATATAATTAATACACCAAATATAAAGTATATCATTGATATAACCAATATGCATAATATGAAGTCTATTAATCACACTAAATATATGAATGATATACTTCACACTAGATATATCACTAATAATTCTTCTTCGAGATTTAAGATTTTGGTTGAAGTAACATTATAGTTTTTTTTAATTGATATATCAAGTATAACAGTGATATATTTCATTTTAGGATATCACTTATATAGCTGATATATCTAATATGAAGTATATGACTAACATACCTAATATGAAGTTTAGGTCAGTCACACTAAATATATGAATAATATTCTTTAATATTACAGTATATTTCTATTAAATCGTTTTCAAATTAAATATTTTAATTGAAGTAATATTATAGGTTTCTTGTTAAAGTATCAAGTATATAAATTATATAAGTTTATCACTCTCGCATGCATATACATACATACATATATAAAAGTAAGTTAGTCACACTAAATATATGGATGATGTACTTCACATTTTAAATCTTATTCGAGTAGAAGATTTATAAATTTCTTATTCATATATCAATTATATTATTAATATATTTATTCTACTTCATATTATGTATATTTTTTTTATGAGTATAATATGTTGAAGAGGGAATTCGAATTTACAATTTTTTGATTTGAGATAAATGTCAATTACCGCTGAGCTATGTTTGCTTTGACCGATATTATGGAATATATCTAATATAAAATATGTATATTAGTTATATATAACTGAAATATATATCAATTGTGATATATTGAATATGAATTACATTATATTAATGTAAATGATATAATCTTAAGTTTTTTTTTTTCTTTTTAATTTGGGTTCGACATCCAGATATGTGTGTATATAGTATAGATATATACTTGCTACATTTGTCAACTAAAAAAGTAATTTCTGTTATGCAATTAACTACTATTTTTTGGGTAAATGATATACAACTCATCCACACGTCACATGTTACATTGTGTGGGGAAGATGGTGGATCTCGATGTTGAAGTTCAATCAGAATGAATTTGTTTATCTTCCATCTACCAAATCGTCGTCTTCCTCCTCTGACTTCTGATAGAAATTAAATCAGAGCTTTCTCCTCCATGGATTCGTCGAATTCTTCCTCTATCATATCGCTGATCATATTTTCTATCGCAGTTTCGTCTGCCTTTGCGTTCGCTCCACGCGCTTCTGGATGCGGCTACAGCTCCATCTTCAATTTTGGCGATTCGCTTTCCGATACGGGAAATCTGTTCGACGAATGTTCTTCCGGCGAACCTCACAAGTCTTGCTTTGCTCCGTATGGAGAGACCTTCTTCCGCCGCCCCACCGGGCGATGCTCCGACGGCCGTCTGATTCTAGACTTCATTGGTTCGATTTTTTGACTACCGACGACTCTGATCGTTTAATTAATCTGATATATTTATATATTTTGACACGATGATATATTGTGATGGGCGCGTACGTGTTAATTAATGGTTTTACAGCCGAATCGCTGGGGCTTCCACTGGTACAGCCGTATCTGGGTGTCAGAAGAAAGGGGATCACGGCTGAGGATTTTGAGAAGGGACTGAATTTCGCAGTCGCCGGAGCCACCGCGCTGGATGCGTCGTTTCTCCGAGAAAATATGAGTTGTAAAGTACATACCAACTACTCTCTGGCGGTCCAATTGGAATGGTTCAGGGACGCATATTCCTCAGTCTGCAGATCGTCTTCAACTGCAAGTGAGTTCCCTTCCCTTCTGGGTGTCAGTTACATAATTAAAGGAAATAGTAAATAGAGCATTCTACCTATATTTTCCGTTAAGATTTTCCATCACTGCAATATAGACTATGATTAATCATGTTATGTTTAATGTAATATTTGATTTAAAGGGTGCAGAGAAATCCTAAAAAGTTCACTGGTTCTCGTTGGAGAAATAGGAGGCAATGACTACAATGATCCATTCTTTGAGCGACGTAGCTTTGAAGATATTAAGTCACTCGTACCATTAGTGGTTAAACAAATTGCTTCAACTATCATTGTATGACCCTATTCTTTTCTACTATTTCCCACATTTTCCTAACGCTCAACCCAAATTTAATAAAGAAAACTAGAATAGATCCTAATCCTATTCTTTTTTATTTTAAAAAACATTCATTTTTTTTTTCATGTAATTTCACTTTTTAGTTATTTTAGTCCATGTATTTTCAAAACATCTATTTTGGTTCCTAGATTATTTTTAACTTCTATTTATTTTAGTGATTTCTGTACTTTGGAAACGTCAATTTTGGTCTTTGTATCTTTAAAAATGATCAGTTTGATCTTTTTATTTTCATTTTTATCCTTTTTTTCGATCATAATTCTACCACAACGATACTTCACTTACTAAATTTCTTGAAATGTAGTCATAAATTTGTGTTAAAAAAGTTTCATTGCGTAAAATAGAATTTGTGTTAAAAAATTTTAAATAGGGACTCATTAAAGTGGTCACGTTTTAAATAGAGAATCAAAATTAATGTTTTGAAAGTAAAATTAAAATGGATCAAAGACAGAAGTATACTATTAAAATACTATTTTAATAACGTAACATTCTCTGGTACTGCAGGAGTTGATTAAATTGGGTGCCGAAACTTTAATGGTTCCTGGGAACCTTCCAATCGGGTGTAATCCAACTTATCTCAAACTTTATGGAACTTCAGTAAAAAACTCAGAAAATGGTTGTTTGGAGTGGCTGAATGAATTTTCCGAGTACCACAATGAACTTCTTAAAGAAGAATTGAAACAAATTCGAGCCAACTATCCTCATGTCCATTTAATTTATGCAGATTATCACAATTCTGCCATGCGTTTCTTTAATGCCCCACAAGATTTTGGTAAGTATAATCTTGATTCCTTCCTTCTGAAATAGCACGTTTTGGATAATTCAATGGCTTGCTCCTAAGTTTTTGAATGTGTAATATATTTTGCAGGATTTACAAATACCTTGCAGTCTTGTTTGGTGTTGGAGGATCAAACATCTAAGAAACATACAAATTATGGAATATTGCCGCCAAAGTTTAAGACAGTGTGTGCTGATCCTTCCAAATATGTTTGTTGGGATGGCATCCACTTAACAGAAGCAGCCTATAGGGCAATTGCTATTGGTCTGTTACAAGGCCCATACACTATTCCTCAAATCACAACCTCATGCATTTCACAAAATGCCACAACAAACTTACCTCAATTGCTCTGAACTCCCATTTTATTTTCCTTGTAATCTTATGCTTTGTATGTGAAGTGCTCCGGAGCCCCAGGGTTTCAATAGTATGATATTCTCTCTCAGTAAACTCGTGTTTTCTTTCATATTGTTAATTAGTTTGAGAGTCTGAGTTGCATTGAAGTTTTAAACCTCTAATATAAATCTTGCATCTGCCAATCTGAATCTAGCTTAATTAATTTAAGGTATATATCTCGAACAAAAAATCGTAAGTTTGAATTCACATCTTCACATGTTAAATTACTCTGCATCTACATGAATGTTTGGATTTGATTGACAACTTCTCACCCTTCAATCATGAAAATATCTTATGTGATTGCCTTAACATGAATGTTTGGATTTGATCGACAACTTCTCACCCTTCAATCATGAAAATATCTTTTGTGATTGCCTTAACGAAATAATTTGATTCGGAACTTGGAAGGGTCACACCATCTTTCACCAATAATCTAGACAAGAACAACTACCATTTTTAAAATGGTGAAATCTACTGCCGTCTCTAACAATTATCTCTCTTTGAAAGACTTGAGAAATTATCTTGCTTACCTCGTGGCAATCTCCACAAACTCTTAAATTCTTGATAATACGAATGCAGTCCCCAGCTCGAGTCACCAGCAAGCCAAAAGCAATTGCCAACCTTTCACTATGCTCTTTAATGGCAGTCTCTTTTTCTTCTTCCTCTATGTCATGTAGTACAGATGAAAGATTTGCTGAGTATCCCGCTGCTGCTATTCGTACTCCAATTATTTCCAACATCTTGTAGATCTCTGTACATCGCTCGTGCTCCTTATCTCCCGCGAAAAAGCGGTGAACTCTGCCTTCTGCTTCAATCAAGCTCCATCCTGCAATTTTGTTAGTGTTTCTTTCAGCCATTAGTCTCCTAACCTTGCTTACATCTTCCCACTTTCTTAGTGTGGCATAGATACTGGATAACTGGACGTAATGCCCATTGTGAGAGGGATCCATTTGAACCAACTTGTTCCCAATCTCCTCACCCAGTTCTACAAATCCATGAACCTTACAAGAACCAAGCACCGTCGCCCACAAGACGGGGTCTGGAGCAGCAGGCATCCTGTCAATCATTTCAACAGCATCATAAACTAACCCAGCACGGCTGAAGAGATCAACCATGCAACCATAGTGTTCCATCTCTGGTTCAATGCAATATGTGTCCGTCATAAGCTTAAAAAAATGTCTTCCCGCGCTGACCAAACCGGCTCTGCTACACGCATTCAACACTCCAATGAATGTCACGTTGACTGGGTAGAAACCCTCAGTTGTAAACTTCTCAAATAGTGCAAGTGCTTCTTGCCCAAGGCCGTGCGACGCCAACCCACAAATCATTACGTTCCAAGACCATTTATCTTTCTGTGGCATTCTGTCAAATAAGAATTTGGACTCGTCAATACACCCGCATTTGGCATACATGTCAACTAGTGCTGTGCCAAGAGATGCAGTCATTGGAAATTTCAACGAGTCTGCAATGGAATGGATCATTTTTCCATACTCAAGCATACCCAGTTGGGCTGCTGCTGCGAGCAAGGACACCAATATTGCCTCATTTGGTCTCATTTTTTGCTCCCTGATCTCTTTAAAGCAGTCTAATGCCTTCTCCAGTTGCCCATTTTGGACATAGCCAGATATCATGGTGCTCCATGAGATCACATCTCTATGGGGCATTTCAACAAACAGTTTCTCTGCAACATAAATTTGTCCATCTCTAACTAAACCAGCTATCATTGAATTCCAAGATACTACATCTCGACCACCGGGAATTTCATCAAACACCAGTCTAGCACATTCGACTCTGCAGCAAGTACAATACAAATGAATCAACGCATTCCGAACGAAAACGTCTTTGACAAAACCAAATTTTATCACATGGGTCTGAACTTGAATCCCTTCGCAGATGGCCAAAGCGTTGCTACAAGCTTGCAACACAAAGGTCAGAGTATGTTTATTAGGCTCCACAAAACTTCGGCGCATGTGTGAGTAAAGAGAAATCGACTCGCGAGGTAAGTCCCCTTTCGCGAAGCACCGGATCATGTTATTGGTGGCAAAAACACTTGGAAGAGCAATAGACTGATAAATTGACCAGGCGTACTCATATGGAAGAGAAGAGGAAGAAATGGCAAGGAAAGCGAGGAGGTGACCCATGATGCGGCCATCATTAGCAAGGCCAAAAACGACACTGCGAGCATGGGCTTGCTTAATTTGGTTGATCCCAGGCGTCGGTGGAAGAGAAGAGAGCGGAGGAGGCAAATGAGATACAGTGGATAAGACGTGGAAATTCAATCTCTGTTTCGAAGTCCAGAAGAAGAATTTAGGCTTCCAGACTAGCATAAAGGATTCGTCACAGATTCTGTCCTGAAATTAAACTGGGTTCGATTGCGTAAATAACAGCTCCTGGAGACTAAATTTTCTGGGGCATTTCATCAAACATTTGAGAGACGCAATTGAAATAGATGTTTAAGTTCTCACAAGAATGCGATTTAGATGCGAAAGCAAGTTTTGGACTCACGAGTGTGCGCCTCTGGTCCACATCCAGCAACTGCTCTGCTCCGGCAAGTTTGTCGAGGCATCGGTGCCGATTCCGAAATGTCCACAAAACGAAAGCGATTCAAATTTTAATATAAGGTTAAAATATGTGTTTCGTACATGAACTTTTATTATCACGTTAAAATACAAATTTATTATTTAAATTTTGATTGTTGTATCTTGGGCAAAGTTTAAAAATAATGTAATTTAAATGAAAATTTCTAAAAAATGGAGTGGTTTAAAAGAAAAAAAATTAATGTAGTTTAAATAAATTTGAAATCTAATGATAAAATGGGTAGATTTTGACAAACAGGCCAAAAATCGTATGTCCCAAAATCGAAATTACCTCTCAAATAGTCATATATGTTTTGACTTTTTGGTTGTTGGAATTGCACTGCAAATAATTCAAAGTTAGCTTATAAGACATGTCTGCATAATGAATCTACATGGATGAAATCATGTACTGCATAATTATTAGAGGTTTGTTCGGTAAGAAATTTATTTTTGTGCTCATTTCTTTTTACCAAGTAATTTTTAAAGCCGGTTAAGAATATAAGAACAAAGTGAAAATCATAACGTTGTGTCCAAAGAGAGAAAATTAAAACTAATTTATAAGATAGAGAATGGGTCTAAATTGGATACCAACTTAATGTATTTTTTATTTTTTGAGTTTAACCCATCTTCCATTTTTTTTTAATATATACTTTAACCAGTTAAGCTATCAGCTATGCTCAAGTTGATTTGTAAAATGGAGTGCTTAAATTTATTTTGAATGAGAACCTACGTTAATTATGCAAGGTTTATTTGATAACAATATTTTTTTTAAGTAACATTTTAAAGCATATATGAAAAAGATTAACACAAAAAGATGTGATCTTTGAAGAGAAGCAGTTTTAACAACCTTTTAGTTGGAGGTATATGCCAATTACCAATAAACCAAACTCGTTTTAACAGTAAAAAATAGAAATGTTTACAATATAGAAGCGCTTTTGAGATTTTAGATCATATATTATTATTAGTAATTATTAAAATGTGCGGTTGGCAATAAGGATCCTTTTTGAATTTTGAAGTAAAGCGGTTTTCTAAATAATTTATTTGTTTTATATTTTCTACTTAAAAAGAAGTAAATTATTAAACACAGTTTCATAAATGAAACTGAAATTACTTTTACTATTCAGAACAAAAGTGAAGTGAAGAGAGAAGATATAATTCTGATTTTTTTCTATAGAGAATAATTATTTTCTTTTTTTTTCCCTAAAATTTATTTTGTTTAATTCATAAATTATACTTTGTTGTGTGCTCATTCACCGAATTAGAGAGGTCTTTTCTTAGGCCATTTAATCTTTCAATTTTAAAAATTTTCAATTACATCCAAACCTAGTAATTCAATCTGTAGACACTAGCTAAACGGAGACTTTCAAAGTGGAACCCACACCCCAAGAAGAGTAAGTTGTCAGTTAGTTGAAATAAGGAGTTGGGTGTTGGGATTGCGGGATCGGTTAGGAAAGCTGTGAAAAGTATGTCTGGACAATATACTTAGGCAGGAGGAGGGTCCAAATGTAAATTCCAGTGGACAAAACTAGTAAATGAATTAGTTTGTGCAAATCAAACCAGAAACTCACCGTTTAAAAAGAGGGACACGAAGGAGGAATAATGAATGAGGTATCAAGATTCAAGGATCAGGATCCTCCTGATGATCCATCAACTTCCACGACCCATCACTCTGCTGAACCATACCCTTATTCTGCAGACACCGCCACGCCACAGGCACAAGAAACTCGTCCTTCAGCGCATCCAGGCTCTTATTAACCAACGCAATGTCTCTCGCTATCTCCAGCTTGAAGCCTCCCCTGTTCCCCTGCGTCCCCGCAACCCCATGCAAATAAGCCTCCAAATTATGCCAGCTGCTCACGCTCCCGGGGCTCTTCAGGTACTTCGATTTTCGAGTGTCGATTTCCAGCTCCACTCCCACGTCCGAGTAACCGATCACCGGGTAGTTTGGGACCACGTCCATGCCATTCTTCACTCGCAAAACGCGTAGCTCTTTGTACCCTGAAAACGCCCTTTTGAACTCCGAATCCCCCACTCTCGGGCTCGCAAACACAAACGACGTCACTGGCACTGCATACGCCCCGCCCGCGCCCTTCACTCCGTTTGCTACCATATCCACTGCGTTCAGCGTTGCTATTGCCGCGCCTAGACTGTGCCCTGTCGTGATTATGCTCATCTCCTCCCCCTTGTACTCCTCCACCAGTCTTTTCACTTCCCCCACAACCTAATTAATCAACAACCCTAATCATTATACCAAATTAAATAATTAACATTAACAAACATATGATATGGTAATGGGACTTGCCTGCTCTCGGACGCTGCTGTTTGTAAAGGGCGATCGGCGATCCGTTGAAGTGTAGATTGAATACCAGCCTTGGTGGACCTTCACGTCGCTGGATTCCCCAAATATTTTGGGAGCCGAAACCAAAGCGAACTCGAAATCGTCGATCCACTCCAGGCTTCGGACGGTGCCTCTCCAAGCGACCACAATGTCTCTCCGCCCCAGTTCCGCCTTCCCTTCGTCCGTCGCCACCGCCACGTACCCAATCCAGTTCGATTCCTTACTCCACGCTTCCCTCGACAACGGCTTCACAATAAAAGCCTCCGGAACCTTCACTTCCGAGGTCGCGTACAGAAATTTCGTCACTCTGTATTTGTACGGGTTCCCCTTCTCCAGCCCAACTTTCGCGAAGAAATCCTGCTTCGAGTAGCGGCTGCTTCCGGCGAATTTCGAGGCCTTCTCGGTGTTGAAACTGTCGTAGGTTGCCTGTGCCATTTGGCCGTAGTGGATTAGGCACCGCCGGAGGTCCATTTCCAGAGGATCCAGAAGGCCTTTCCAGTTGTGTAATCCGATTAAATGTCTCCAATTGATCTTTACATTTTCCTCGCTGCTGATTTTATCCATCGTCTTCTTCTTACCGAAACACCTCCACAAAATCAATTTTCTTCCGCACCTGAATCGCGCACCTCTTCTCTGTGCATTTCTCCTTGCATTGTAATTCATCTATACAAGAATATTTATCTTTTTTTCCTAATTTAACTTGACGAATGAAATTAAGTTTGTATGTGTCGTCTATCAGATATGGAATAATGGAGCTTTTAAATTTTGAATGCGCAAGCCCAGCCCAACTGAGAAGATCCAAACTTTTGTTTTGGGGTTTGGTTAGAAAATGGACATCTGGGAATATGGACAGAGATATGCTTGGCTTTGAAGTCATAGATTGCCAAAAGTGAGACCATGGAAATGGAAAATTGGAAATGGAAGGTGCTCTGGTTGCGAGCTTGTCAAGGCAGGTATTAGTGTTTTACACCCCAACTTTCCTTTCTCTCTCCCACTCGCTATTTCTTTTTAATTAATAAAAGAATTTTATTTTACATGTTTTAGATAAGTTTCTCTTTTATAGTAATTTTAAAAAATAAGGTATGAAAAGTACTACTAAACATAGTTAAAGAGTCTAAGACATCTTGAGTTTGAATCTCTATCCAGTATCTTTAAAATATGTTATTCAAATTAGTATATAATTTCATATAAAATAAAAGTTTGAATTCAAAACTTCTAAAATTTTTAAAATTTATTTGGACTATGACTAATCATGATATTGATTATTGATGTTAAGTACTTTAATTCATGAAAATATTGAGATGTATAATTTATTAGAACTTGAAGTTAACAATGCGTGGTATATGAAAAACAAAGTGGGAGTTCCCATTTCCTTTTAATATTTATGCATATGAAATGATTGATACATTTATAATTAAATGGAATTTTAATTTTTGTATAAATTTGTTCCATCCTTTACAGAGAGGAAAAAATAAGTCTCTCTACCTATGGGACTCTAATGTAGAGAAATTGTCGTAGTTTCTACGACATAGACATACATGTGAAATTATATATATCTTAATTTTTCAATTATATTTTAAGTTAGAACAACTTCTTTTTTTCTTTCAAAACTCAATCTCTTAAGTCTTAAAGATCGAAGTTCAATTTTCTACGTGTAATTGTTGAACTAAAAAATATATTTGTATTTCTTAAGAAAAATATATTTTTTCAAGTATACTATGTAGGGGTGAGAGATCGGACTCACAACATCTTAACTAGAATTATATGTCAATTACCATTGAGCTATGACCGCTTTGACCTCGTAAGAAAACGTTAGTCATGTAATGAATTCAAGACCCATCCACGTTTAACGATCTTAAATGCTTGAGCGACCCATTGAATTGCTTGGTTCCGTACTATTGGGCCTACATCCATAACAAAGCCCAAATTTACTTCAGCCCATCGCAAGTTCAAATGTCTTGCACCTACCATAGATACTAGCCTACCTATGTACAAATACAACAACTATATTAAATGAATATATAAAAAGATTCTTTTGCAAAATAAAAAATATATATATTCAACAAGATTGTTGACTCAAAAATAATTCAACTAGTCAAGCATCTAGTATCTCTTTTTATAGTGTCTAGATTCAAATGCTCTTTCTAATATTAGTGTAATATTGTTAAAGGAAAAAGTACAATATCATATCATTGAAGAAGAATGAAAATGATAAAGCAATATATATAATATATTATTATATTGTATATACACACATATTAAAATTGGCCGTAGAAAGGGGAAATTGGGATTTTTGATCCCTTTCAATAACCACTCTGGATTTTTGACTCCCTTTTGTTTTTTACATGACCCCTTCACCTCAGATTTCTAACTCCTCCCCTTATTTTATCATGTAAATTGACGAAATTGCCCTCATTTCATAATAAATGCATTTATGATATAATAAATTTCCAACCAACCCACCAACCACCAACTTAACAATTCTCATTTTGTTTTTTCAACTCCAAATTACCACACACACGCAAGTCACGTTTTTTTTCCAATACTCAAGATTTTCTCTACGTGATTGTTGGCCCACATTATCCAATCAATCGATCCCCACATAATCCGTTATCTCGAATCCATTGTTTTCACAATATAGGTATGTCCATTTCATCATTTTAGAATATTGTACTTCTTCAAACTTGTAATGATACGAAATTTTATCATTTTTCTAGAAAAAAACGTTATTTTACGGAAAACAGAAATGAAGTCTAGAATTTATCTTGGACCGGGATTGGTACCGGGATGAAATTTAGAACCGGGTTTGAGACCGAGATAGAAGGTAAACTCAAGCCCGGTCCTTCATGTCCAGATACGACCGGGACCGGGACCGAGATGAGGATAAACTGGGGTAGACCGGGATAGGGATTGTCTCGCTCTCGTTGTCTCGATCTCGCTGTATCGCTCTCCTTGACTCGTTCTCACTGACTCGATCTCGCTGTCTCGCTCTCGATGCTTCGCTCTCGATGTCTCACTCTCGTTGTCTCGCTCTCGATATCTCGCTCTCGATGTCTCGCTCTCGATCTCATTCGCTATCCTTCTTTTTTTCGTTCTTCTCCATGTATGTATATGTTATGCCTCGTCCCGGTCCATTTCGAACCGGGATGAGTCCCAARATGGATTCCAGAAGGATGGTCTTTCTGGATACCATCTCGGTCTTCATCCCGGTCTATTTCGAACCGGGATGAGGCCCGAGATGGAATCCAGAAAGTCCATCCTTCTGGAATGGACTTTCATGGTTTCATCCCGGTCCTAAATCCACCGGGCTTAAAGCCGAGATGGAACCCTGAAAGTCAAAAATTAAAACAAAACAATGGAAGCAACAATAAATCAAACTTCATAATAACCTTGGCTACTTCAGATAGAGCCGAATGTTGAAATCATTCACACCCACGCAAAGAACGAAGAAAAAAAAGGTAGAAAATCATTCACAATAAGATCGCGAGTTCGAAAGAAAAATTACCTCAATTAGGGAAGGGGGAAAGCTCTGATAGAAACGAAGTGAGGGAGACGAAGAAGAAACGACGGAGATGAACTTTCTGGTTGTGAGGGAGAGACCAGGATGAAAACTGGGATGGACAACGAGATAGTGAATGAGGGAGGGGAAGGACCGAGACAGGGAAGGAAAGGAGGGGAGGGCTGGGTTTGATTTCTTTTTTTAAATTGAGGATAACTTGGTAATTTTACAAAGCAAAATAAGTGGAGGGGTCAGAAATCTGAGGTGGAGGGGTCATAAATAGGTAAAAATCAAAAGGGGGTCAAAAGTCCAAAGTGGTTATTGAAAGGGGTAAAAAATCCCAATTTCCCGTAGAAAGGGAAAAAAGATTCAAAATTCAAAATTTAAAGAAGAAATGGACGAAGAAAGGAAAAGAGAAATGGAAAAAGGTTTTATTGGGAAATGAGATGGGAGGAAGCATTGATGGCTTTGGCAATGGCATTTAGTGAAAAGCGTTGGCCAGATGCCTTCAACTTCAAGACACTCTTTTTGGCATTATATATTTCAATTCAAAATTATCTTTGTTTTATTTTCGTATTACTTTTGTTTTTCTTAAGCAAGGTTATTTTGTAATAAGATATAGTGGTTTTAAATTATTTAAAAGCATTTCTTACCTAAATTATTTATATTTTGGCTATAAATTAAAAAGTATTTGAAAATGTAAATGCACTTTTCTGATCTGATATAATTAGATTTTATAATATATCTTTGTAATATATACTTATTTGTCAAATTCAAACATAGTTCAACGAATAAGATACTACTACCTTGCTTAAGGTTAAAGGTCCGATCATGCACTACGAACATCTTCCCAAACATTTCTCTATCTCTCTTATTTATTTATTTTGGACATACCCCACATTTTCTATTAATATATCTAGACTCTATTCATATAAAGTCTCTCTCGTCTAGTCTATCGGTAGTTACAAAATTATTTAAAAGAATCATTTTTAGTAACCAGTAAAAGTAAAAGATAATTGTATGTTCAAATTCACTATACATAATTTCATAGCTTCTTTTTTTAGAGGAAACAATTTTTAAGTCTTCAACTTCTCTGAATAAGTAAACTTTTTTTCCTTTTCAAATGCTCTAACTTTTACACACATATATATATAACAACTTATAAAAGTGGAGATTCAAATTCACGATTTTTTAATTAAATATGGGTGTCTTAATCAGTTAAATTAAGCTCAAATTTATCCAACCCTCTAAGTTAATTAAATTTAAATTAAAGCTTTTAGTTTAGGTGAATAAAGATCAAGGCGATGAAAACAAGACAACGTGGCAGGGCATGAGTAAACAACATAGCTTAGGCCATAGCCTTTTTTAATGTCTCGATCGCAATCTGTCTGTCTGGTAGCAGTGTCTTTTGTGGTATTAATTTGGTAAAGCTTTAATCTTCGTTAAAAACAAAATTATTATTCATTATTCTTATTTGTGATGTACAAGTTTCCTACTATGATTTAAAATTAACATGCTTTCAATTTTGTTTATATTAATTTGATGTGTTTTAATATCCAAAAAGAAAAGTTACTAATCGATCTTAATTAAACTGGTTGACGAGTGATGGGAACCTGTACATGATCAAAATATTTGGGAAAAAACCCCACCCAGAAAATAACCCAATGGTGTAATAAATTACTATGTAGGTTTAAATATGAATTTGGTTTTTGTCAATATATGTATATATATGTATATATATATATATAATTTTGGTCTATGGACATTTCATTTTTTATTTTTTACTATCAATTTTTGTTTATTTTAATTATTGTACTTTCAAAATGTTCATTTTAGTCATTGTATTTTCAATAAATAATTATTTTTGGTTCATTTTTATCTCATTTATTTCTATTATAATTTAACAATGATACTCGCTAAATTTATTGAAATGTAGCCATAATTTTATATTAAAAGGTTCCTATTTGTTATGAAATTTATGTTAAACTTTTGCAAATAGGGATCAATTGTTCACTTTTAAACATTATATTGACCAAAATAGACATTTGGAAAATATACACGAACTAAAATGAACTAAAGTTAAAAATAAATTGATCAAACTAAATGTTTTAAACATATATTGACCAAAATGAACCAGAGTTAAAATGACAAGAATCCGAGGGTGTAGGAAGGAATAATATACGTATTGTACTAGCATGCATGCACACTCATAGCATACTCCATAATTGAACCTAAAAACATGTTAGGTAAATGTTTTTCTAGACTTGTTTTAAGTGTTATTTTCTCTTAATTTATTTGTATGGATATTTTTAAAACAAATGATTAAGTATATTCTTTAAAATATTTCATGAAATCTCCCCTTGCAAATCTGCAAATAAATTTAGGTTAGATTACAAATTTGGTCCATTAACTTAATTTTTTATGCCACATAGTCAGAAAATTTTAAAAAACATTCAATTATTCTATGTTAATTTAATTCATATAATGATTTTGTATAATTATTTACTATTAGTTATTTTTTTCTGAAACAAACACTTCATTAAAGAAACAACTGAAGAGCCTGAGGAAAATTAGAAAGCTGCAAAAATGGAGCATCTAACTCAAGAGCCTTTTGAGAAACAGAATGAACACAGCCTCATTTGATTCTGATCTCCGGGCATGCACAAAAGATAACTGAGGGAAAAGAAGAAGCCTTCAATTCATGTTGCTGTCTTATTTTGGCAATCCATCTCTCCATTACCTTATTTGACAAACAAACAAAATTGTTTTGTAGAAATACATTCAAAATATTCATAAATGAAATTTGATACATTGTTTCAAGGACATTAATTTTATCTAGTACTAGTTTTGGCGTGGGGAGTTTTGGCATGTATTCTTTTTCTTTTTCATAATAAATGTGGGGTTGAGCAGTTGTTTTATCAATTTGAGCTATGTTTAAATTGACAATTATGATATGTATTAAATAAAATACTTCGAGATGTAACGATGTAGGTTGGCAAGTACCTATCTTTACATGAAAAAAAAAATTCTTCCTCTTTCTTATTTGTAAAAAAAATTAACGGTGATACGTAACAGTACATAAAATAGAAGGTTTATCGATCAACAACTAAATATTTTTCATGTATTAATTGTTCGAAGAGGGGAACAATACATGTGAGCACGTTGGTATCGGATGGGCCCGACCCCGCCAATGTGTAACCCTAACCCTAACCCTAATCAAGAGATAGAGACAAATGTGAAGGAGGATGGGGAGGATTAGGAAGGTTTTGGAAGATTTGGCATGTTGCTTTAGCTTCGTTGGCATTGTGCAACCATGCTAGTGCACGTAACACTAACACTTGAACCAAAAGAAGGACCACTTCCCTCTCTCCCGAAGTCGGGACAAATGTGTATGTACATAAATATTATATTATATTACATTTAGACACTTGAGTTTTTTTTTTTTTTTTTTTTTTGGAGATAGAGAGAGACGAGAATATAATTGAGAGGTGTATATTAATTGTATGTTTATGGCATTCGTTTTCATGCTAGCTTTTCTCACATGATACCGCTCCCTTCTCACATTAATTTTCCTCTTCTTATTTATTTCTTCACCTCCTAACTTTTATACTCAATTCTCTACACTACACTACACACACCACACCCCCTTCACTAAATGCATATACATTCATTCCATTTTTTACTTTTAAGTTACATTGTTTTCTAAAGAAAATTTTGGTTTTCGCTTTTAATTTTTGGGTTTTGAAAATTTTATGCTTATATTTTATAGTTTATTTTTCACGGTTTTGAAGAAGGTTTTTGAAATCAGTCAAATTTAAAAAGTAACAGACGTTTTTTTTTAGATCAAAGTACTCTATTTTAAATTGTTTTCGTGTAATAGGCGCTCAGAGACAACTGATCTTGAGAGAGGTTGGATAATTCACGGCGCAATTGAAAAATACGAGGTCGATTTTTGCGTTGGTAGCGTTCTTGAAGATCAAGCCAGATATCCCTAGCAGAATCGGAAAACAAAACGCTCGCCGAAATCTCTTTAGACAGAGAATTTAGAAGCCAAGCAATGACCACATTATTGCAGATCTTCCACGAATTAATTTGAGCACCAGATGGACGAGAAATCGATCCATCAACAAACCCGATTTTGTTCTTCACGGTGAGTGCGATAATCATGGAACGACTCCATGAAGTATAATTGTTCTCGTTCAGCAGATCAGAAACGAGGACAAGACTAGTATTATCCGAGTGATGAAGATAATACGGATTGGAGTAATTCTCAAGAATTGAGGTAGTCGCAACACCATGAGTAGTTGAAGAAGAAGAAACTCCAGCATGAACCTGTTCGGAGGGAATTCCTGAGGGCAAGATGGGAGTTTCGTCAGTCATGGTGAAAGGAAGCAGAAGGTGGAACTCTCAGAAAAAAACTGATACCATATTGAAACTGAGAGTAAATAAGTCGGCTTAACTTTTATTGATTTACTCAAGCCCTTATATATACAACCTATGTACATAAAGAATAAACTGTACAATATAAGCACTCTAACTAATTAGAATAATTAATCCTCCTAATAAATAATGGTAGATAGAGGTAAGAAAACGAAAATGTTAGAAAGGCAAAGGCGTTTTTCTTGAACAGTACGTTAACAAGACAACATTTCAAAGAAATTCTACAATTAGTATGGTGTGAGATCCGTGAGTGCTATTTCAAGTTCCTTCTCAATATGCAAATTTCAAACATAGTAATACTTTACTTCCAAGTTCACAGATCCCTGTTTATTTACAGCAAAAAAAGTAGAACAAAAATGAAAGGAAACCACTGCAACCCAATCCCAAATAATAATAAAATCAATGTACTCTTTTTTCTTTATTAGGAAGCATAAAAATTAAAAAAAAAAAAAAAATCAGTGGTAACTTTATATATTTGTGTGGGTTGCGATCCAGGGCGGAGGGTCGAAAAGGGCTCTGCCTTTTTAGCCATTTTGAAGCATCAGAGGGGCTGCTGCCTCAGAGCCGCAGCTTATTTAATTTTTTTTTTTATTGGTCTGTGTTGTTAAAATTTGGGCAAATAATGGAATGGGTGAAAACGAAAAGTGAGGAAGGTGGTGTGTGAAGTAAGTTAGTTAATGGTCAGTGTCAATGCATTGAATAATATATTGGGTGAAAATGATGGATCAGCCATATAATCTCTGGAAAACAATGCCCATTTGCCCCCTTCTTTTTAACTTTTGAAATCACATGTGTGCTTGCCCGATATATTTCCCACCGCCTCAATGAGGTGGTTGCTTTTGCTTGCTGTCATATTTGGGTTTTAGGAGAAACACCCTAATTCCCCTTTGAGATATATGAGTTTATTTATTGGGTTTTGGATTTTGAGTCATTTTGAATTTTTTAGCCACCTTAATTTGGTTGATATATATGTGGTAGATGTACGTAGGTATTTTAAGGATCCTATATCGATAAGATTAGACATGAACTACTCTTCTCGATCGTTACTAATTAATTTTGAGATGAATCCTATAAACTATTTTCTACCTATTATTTGTACAATATTTGAAGAGTAAAATAGTTAGGTTAAGAATTAAAAAGAAAGTTATAAAAAAATGAGGAAAATAAAATGGATCTCACGTAGCTTAATTAATAATAATAAGGGAGGTTTTAATTGGGAATGATTTTTCTTCTGAAGGGAATGATTAAAATCTTAGTAACAAGGCAAGCTACCAGAACTATTGAAAAAAAAATATATCAAAGAAAAGATTATATGAAATGGAACAAAATGACGTGGGTTTTGGTTACCTTTATTTTGTCGTTCCCATTCATTTAATAAGCTTTTATTACGTTGGAGAGTACATTATAAATTTGAAACCACTTCCTCTGCCTTCACCATACGCCATCCTCCACTACAACATTTTTATGCTAACTTTTATTAATGGAGATTCTCGCTTCCAAAATTTTCCCTTTTTTTACATTTTCCATTCCACCAATATCTATATTGCAATCAATGCCTTCTTTATTTTTTTTCCGTTTTTCTAGCTCTATATTAAACCATAGTCTCTTCGCTATTTTAGTGTCCAATTTTTAACATATGTTATCAGCTGAGACACCTAAATTTAGGTAGCATGCACTTTAATTGTATTAAAAATATAACTTTGTAGAAATTGGAGTTTAAAAAATAAGTCAAAAAAATTTGAGAAAGTATAAATATTACATATCCATTTACTCTGTTTTATTCTTTTTTTTTTGATACATTTGTTTTATTCTTTATATCTTATAATAATGAACTTAATATGATTTTCAGGGTTAATTTTTGGTATTATAATGGACATAAATCTTAAACTGTCAATTCTCAAATCTATGTATTTGATAAATAAAATGTAATTTGAGTATAGTTGAATGGATGATACACATATCATAATTTCAAAGGTTGATGATTCAACCAGGAAGAAAAAAAAGGTTAGATGATGTAAATGTAAGAAAATAAATGTAAACAAAAAAAATAAAATGTTACATAAATTTAAGACAGTAAATGGAACAACTCCATGGTTGGCGTCCGGGGAGAGAGAAGGACTGAAGGAGAAGCGGCAGGATTATTTTTATATAAAAACTTTTCAAACAGAAATAGTTAAGGGTGGCGAGAAATCGCGAAAATATAGAGAGAAATTCGTTGAAAAATTATTGAGCTGACCGTTGGAAGGGTTTTCTACTGTGTGAGTTTTTTATTACACTGGCAGCTGCCCGACCCACAAATCCCACGCGCCTTCAACTCCAACAACGGCCACGTCCTCTCTTCACAGCTTGATTCCTTGCTATTTCCATCACGCGCATACTTGTCCCGGCCACAAAGCGAGTATCTTGGTTATACTTACTCGACGCGATTCGCTTATTTGATTTCCTTATTTTCTTATATTTTCCTTACTTTCAAATTAGATCCAATCCAAGAAAATAAGACCGTTCCTCGTGATCGACGCCCTCAAGTCCATTCTCTTTCACTTCCCCCGCAAACGTTCTTACTTTTTCTTTTTCAGTCATTTTAATATTTTTATTTTCACAAACTCCAAGTCTCTCTCTCTCTCTCTGATGAGACGAAGACAAGGACGTTTCGTTCACAGTCCAAGTAGATTGAAAATTGGAGGACTGTAAAAACCTCA